AATATTTATTTTCATACCACTCGATGAAAATAAATCGTGTATTTATAGAAAAAACTTGAATATCCTCTATTTATTACACTGCTGTGTCGTGGTCTATGAGATAAGTAATTATATTGATACTATTTACTATCAAATGTAAAAACAAACCATGAAAAACTTTATCATTAGATCTATTAATTGAACTAATACAAGTAAATAAAATCATAAACTTTACTGATGTATATATGTGAGTAACTTAAATGAAGGGAGAAACAAACAAATGGTAAAACAATAATGGAATGGTATATTAAATAACTTTGAATACTAACACAATGAAATAAATAGTTTAAACAACCCTTATACTCTACACTCTCTATATATAGGATTTATTTTATTTAAATGTCATATATGTTTGTGTGTATATATTAGTCAATATTAAAGCAGCATGCCTCCAGATTCATGCTAATTTTCATGAAAAATTTAAAAATCTATTTAAAAGTATATTATTGTGAAGTAACCAAAAAGAAGTAATTTACACATTATCAATGACACTTGTAATGTACGTAAACTACCAAAACAGGTCAAAATATGCAAAAATAGCTCTTAATGCGTTAGTACGCATTAAAAATATAGTTGTAAATTAAAAAAAAAAATCAGTCATTAACCATATAACATATATATTATTACTTGAATCTTGAATTTTAATATTTTTTCTTAAATCTTAGCGCATGTTTATCAAACTTGATTTTTAAAACATATTTCAGCTCATCTGGAGGCATGTAGACAGTGTTATTGTTAAAAAATATTGACATTTTTTTTTGGCAGAAATTTTACACAAAATGCAGTACATGTACAAAAAATGTGCACAAACTAAGTTTTCATGTACAGAAAAGAAAAAAGTTTTCATGTACAGAATTGAACTTTCAGCAGCCGCATAATATTATAGTGAACATATTTGAGCTGCATCACGACAAAACCAATATAGTGCGTTTGCCTCCAGCATGGATCCAGACCAGCGCAGTCTGATCAGGATCCATGCTGTTCGCTATCAGTTCATCTATTTTAGTAGGGTTTATAAGCGAACAGCATGGATCCTGATCAGACTGCATGAATGCGCAGGCTGGTCTGGATCCTTGCTGGTCGCAAACGCACTATGTTGGTTTTGTCGTGACGCAGCTCATTTAAAATTGATTTATCTGCAGCTGATTATTTTTATATGCTAATATTTGGATATGTTTACAAAACATACATTTCACCACTGAAAATTAAACATTAAATAATGGGAGAAAAAATATATTTCAAGAAAACAGAACCTTGTAAAAATTATGCATTTCATCAACTAAAACTTTGGCAAAAGAGAAAAGTTTTGAACTGTATTTCCTATACACAACTTAATATATAGCAAAAATGTACCTGTACTAATAATACACACTCAAGGTAGGGAATATTAAATTTTGTACCAACAGGTCATATCATAAAATGTTTAAATACATGTGAAAATGAAAATGCCTTTATCAAACATTATCTATAAAAAAGAAAAAAAACAACATTTAAAATCACCATGTAAATTGATCTCATTGTTGTATAAATAACTCTAATGACATATTAAACAAAATATAAACAATTTTTAAAAAAAGCTCTCTCTTTTTCTAAAGTAAAAATCACAGACTTTTATTTCACATTATGTATGTATAATACAACAGCTGATCTCTCTGAAAAGAGAAACTAACTACAATTAATATTATATTGTTTCAATCAATCAGTCAATTAATCAATCAATCAAACAATCAATCAATTATTCAATCAACAAATCAATCAATCAAAATCAACCTTGCAGTAAATGAAAAACATCAAATCAATCAATCAAGCAAAATCAATAAATCATCAAAACCAGCCCATTAAAATCCATCAATCAATCAATTAAAAAATGTTTTCTAATTAAATTAACAAACAATTAGCATTATGATTTTAAAATAAAGATAAAGAATTTCTCAACCTCTTATTTTTTCAACAACCAATGCTGGAATTAAAGTTTTAAAATTAATATATGTACATTGTATATATTAAATACACAACTTGTATAGCGTAAGAAACATATTTTAACCTAATAGGAACCTGCTAGATTTGTGTAATGGATTTGCCCTATGACTTTGGCACGTTCCATTCAAAGTTTGAGGGATTTCAATATTGGAATACTTCAAAAAAATGACATGCAAACAGAATAGAGCCTCTTGGTCAGACTGTTCAGACTGTCCTGGCTCTAGACTAACCACTTACACATTCAAAAGGTTAAGGAGTGTAACATTATTAGATAAATTTTATAATATTCATTTTCACAAAAATTGTTATATATGTCAATGCTTCATGCCTTGAAAGAATTTGTAAAAAAAGCCTATTTTGAGTATACCCACTTTTAAACAGTTCAATTATTTAATTCAAGACCATGTAAATAATATATGTAACTTTACACTCATAGGGACAATAGCAGAAGTATTTGAAATATTTGTAAAAATGGGAACACCATGGAGATTTAAAAAAACTCAGAACTTATGTCCTAAGGTAACTGTTTAAAGTATGAATGTAAATGGTTGTAAGGTTAAAGATAACTAGAGACACTAAGTGATGGTTATATAGCTAACTAGACCTATCACTGAAGGTGATTAATACCCCCACCTGCAACGTTGACTTTATGAAAAAAAAAGTAGTCTGAAGAAAAATTTGAACACAAACTATCAACTGTGTACAAAGAAATATTTCAATTAATTGTAATCACAACTGGGGTCTTGAAATAAGCTTGCTATACACCAAGTTTGATTACAATATCTCATTCCTAACTCTACTTATTGTCCAGACACCATTTTTCTTTTTTAAGTAACACTGTAACGGTGACCTTGACCCTTGGGGTCCAAATGCAATACCAACCCAGGTCTACATATAAGCTTCCTATACACAAAATTAGATTACAATATCTCATTCCTAACTCTACTTATTGTCCGAAAACCATTTTTTCTATTTTTCCTAACGTGACCTTGACCTTGACCCCAGGGGGCCCAAATGCAATACCAACCAAGGTCTTCATATAAGCTTGCTATACCCCAAGTTTGATAAAAATATCTCATTCCTAACTCTAGTTATTGTCCAGAAACCATTTTTCTATTTTTAGTAACACTGTAACGGTGACCTTGACCCAAAGGGGTCCAAATGCAATACCAACCCAGGTCTTCATATAAGCTTGCTATACACCAAGTTTGATTACAATATCTTATTCCTAACTCTAGTTAATGTCCGGAAACCATTTTTCTAATTTTAGTAACGGTGACCTTGACCCCAGAGGGTCCAAATGCAATACCAACCAGACTTTGCACATAAGGTTGCCATATACCAAGTTTGATAACAATACCTCATTCATAACTCTAGTTATCGTCCGGAAACCATGATGTGGACCGACGGACGGACCGACCGACAAGCTGACTCCTATATACCCCCCCTAAACTTCGTTTGTGGGGGTATAAAAACTGTTTATATAGGGCCACATACCCTGTTATATGGCAAAATACAAAATGGGTACAACAGGAGTCCTTTAGTGAATGGCTATTTAATGACAAACCATATTTCATGTGAGAAATGTAATCTTAAATATACAGTACAAGTGTTGTTTTTTGTGATTTTGTAAAAAATAATAATATTTCAATCAATTTGCAGCAGTCATGTATATTGATAATATGAGCCGCATCATGACAAAACCAACATAGTGTGTTTGTAACCAGCATGGATCCAGACCAGCCTGTGCATCCGCACAGTCTAATCAGGATCCATGCTGTTCGCTTACCAACTCTATTACAAGTAGAGAAACTGATAGCGAACAGCATGGATCCTGATCAGACTGCACGGATGCGCAGGCTGATCTGGATCCATGCTGGTCGCAAACGCATTATGTTGGTTTTGTCATGACGCGGCTCATATAATGATTGTCCAATGAAAAACGAGGTTACAAAGTGCCATGTTACAGTATGCTAATTCTGACAAGACAAATTTAAATAATTATTACTGTAGGTCAGAGACAACTAAATTTAACCCTTACCTTACCATGCTAAATCTTGTCAAATCTGGATACTAGCATTCATCATGTTTTACGAGGAAAACTCAAATAAGTACTGACCAAATACAGCAAACAGTGCAGGTCATGATCAGACAGCAGGGATGGTCAGGTTGGACTTGGTCTGTACTGGTCACATGGGTAGGCTTAGGGTTAAATAAATTTTTAAACATAAATTTAAATTGTTGCTGTGAATCCGATACCTATGACATGTAGCGAAGGGCAAGAAAATGTGGGATATATTCAATTCTTATAATAATTCAAATAGCTTAAAAATTCTGGCAAAATAAGCCACACAATATTGATTAGAAAAACAGTGATTGCACAATATATGTATAACATTAAAATAATAATGCCAATCTTTATACAGGAATAATTTACAACGAGTCTGTATTGCACAACATCCAGTTATTTTAGTTTATACTGAACAGTCAAATTTAGTACGTGTATACATTCTTGCACATTTAATTCTCTCTAACCCATTTATTTATATAAAATCTATCATCATTGAAATAATTTACAACAGGTCTGTATTGCACAACATCCAGTTATTTTAGTTTATACTGAACAGTCAAATTTAGTACGTGTATACATTCTTGCACATTTAGTTCTCTCTAGCCCATTTATTTATATAAAATCTATCATCATAAAAACATCCCCAATGATATGAGCAGCTAGTAACATTTACTTACTCTTAAATATTAATGTTTTATACCAATATATGAGCCGCGTCATGACAAAACCAACATAATGGGTTTGCGACCAGCATGGATCCAGACCAGCCTGCGCATCCGCGCAGTCTGATCAGGATCCATGCTCTTCGCTTACAAATCCTATAACAAATAGAGAAACTGATAGCGAACAGCATGGATCCCGATCAGACTGCGCGGATACACAGGCTGGTCTGGATCCATGCTGGTTGCAAACCCATTATGTTGGTTTTGTCGTGACACGGCTCATATATTATAAAGTATTATTTTTTATTGTAAAAGGTGTTTCCTAGCTAAATACATATTGCATAGTGAAAAATGCAAAACTGCAGACATATTCTTGAAATGTTTAAAAATACATTAATTTTATTAAAGCACAACCTGCATTTACTTTGAAATAATGTGGTTTTGTTTCTTTGTTTTGGGGTTTTTTTTTGTTTTTTTTTGCTTTACTTGATCAAATTAAGCCAAATTTTAGTATGCCACCCATATCTTTAGGAATATTTTATGCTGAAAGTTTTTTCAGCTTACATTCCACACTACACAAATGACGCTATGCATGTGTCATCTAACTTTTTCTCCTAATAATGCAGATCTAATTAGATAATAAATTACAATATTGTTTCACAATAAAAATGCAGCTGTTTCACATAATAAAAAAAAGAAAAAAATTGCACAATTAAAATTCAGCACATTTATACATTAAATATTAGGCATCGTAACTTCCACTACTAAACATCCTGTTTGAAGAAGAGCTCATATAATCTGACTGTGAACTGTACATTGACTCCGAATCACTCCCGTGACCTCTGCTGTCATATGACCTTTGACCGTCAAATGACCTTTGACCTTCATAAGATCTCTGACTATCATTTGTCCTTGACCTATCATGGTCATATGAATATCTTTGTCCATCATAAAATTTTGACCTTTCACCATCATACAATGACCTTTGACCCTCAAGTGACCTTGACCTCTCATTGTCATATGATGACCTATAATGACCTTCAAGAGATTTTGACCTTTCACTATCATAAGATGATCTTGGATGACTTTCAAACGACCTCTGACCTCTCCAGGATAATGTTCCACCAGGTGATCTTCTGTAATCTATGTTAAACTGAAATATAAATTAACAAAATCAAGTACAAGAGGTCCAAATTGGCCTGTACAGCTTACCTGAGTAAATGGACAAGTAGATAAAATGTAAGAAACTATAACAAGATAACAAAAATAAGAAGCTTTAAGAATAAGAATTAATTATAAAAGTATTTCTGGGGTATATTGTATTGGGCCTTTCTCAAGAAGATAACATACCTTGGTAGCACAAACAAAACACACTGTAACAACTTTGGCTATTGCATTCATCAGATTTTTGGTCTCCTGGATTGCTCCATCAACCTGAAATAAACAAACATTACCTGATATTATAAAGAACTGACATTTAAAACTTTGTTACCATTGAAACATAAGTTGAACAATATTATTAATGTGTGTTATAAATCTAACATCCTTGATTTATATCAATGTTTTAAATGTCAATATATTCAACTCTTAAAATGACCTCTAAAGTTTGCAAGCGGGAAAATAACAAGAACTGTCACAGAAGACAGCGGAGCTCGACTAATTAAATACTGGATGCAGCAAGGAAGACAAAACTATGAAAGAAAAATCAATTATGATATAAATATATTTCTTCTTATGACAAGAAGTTATAGTTGTTAACATAAATTCCAAGTTAAAGGGGGAATGACTCTGGAAATAGTCACACTAGTTATGGACCTTATTTCTAGAAAATCAGGGAAGACTCCACCAACCTTCCTTTGTGCTTACTAGACAGTTTCCTCATGTTATAAAATGCTATTTAACAAATAATACATGGCCTTGAGGGCAATATGCAAGTTTACGGACTGATTGGTCAGACTGAGGAAGGTATATGGCTCGAATCGCAGCTGAGGGACATATACCTTCCGAGGTCTGACCAACCAGTCCGTAAACTTGCATTTTGCCCGAAAGGCCATGTATTATTTGTTATATTATACCGAATCTAAATCCTTTCATCCCTTTTGTTGCTGACATTTTTACTATAGACCTAAATAATTTTTTTGTTCAGTGTGTGAAATATTTCAAACCCTAGTCGGAATTATTATTATTATTTTCAAGTGATACTGCAAAAAAAATCATGCCCTTCTTTTGTTATTCAATTTTTTTAATCAAATTAAACAGGCTAAAAAAACCCGAACTTTAAGATTTAATACGACGTCATTCAGTCCATATAAGAATTATGGACCGCCCCCGGTCTGTATGCGGTTTATGGACCGGATGACGTCATATTAAATATAGAAGGACGTATGCAAATGAGGTATAATATATCCCATTATTCAACATGAAACAGTAATCCACAAGTGATTTAAAAGACAATGAAAATATTATCTCCTTGATAATCCTATAGAAAGTTACAAAGATAAATGAGCCGTGTCATGACAAAACCAACATAGTGGGTTTGCAACCAGCATGGATCCAGACCAGCCTGCGCATCCGCGCAGTCTGATCAGGATCCATGCTGTTCGCTATCAGTTTCTCTACTTGTAATAGGGTTGGTAAGCGAACAGTCTGGATCCATGCTGGTCGCAAAGGCACTATGTTGGTTTTATCCTGACACGGCTCAAATGTAAGACATCAATGAACTTACCTTGTTAAATGTAGCAGATTTACCATATGTTGAGGCTTTCAGGGTGGACAGAAGATTTTGACAGCACGTTGGTATCCTATCACCATGTAACAACAGATCATCCTTTTGCGGACACATGGGTACCTATAATTATAAGGAAAACTCCAAATCACGTACCAATTGGCAAACAATGTTACTGAACACAAAAATTTTTAATTTCTCGAATAATTATGGTTTCCTTGGACAGGGTGGAAGCACTCTGATGCCCGTACAGATTGGCAAACAACTTTTGCTGAAAATATTTTTTTTTATTCCTCGCATAATAATGGTTCCAATCTACGATAAGACCAGATTTTAAATGCTAAGTATAAATGTCAATGCCTGTCCTTCGACAGCATGGAAGAACACTGATGGTGTGCATGCGCGGAGCACAATCTCATTTAATACCATAAATAATTCGAGACGAAATAGGATATGGTTTCATGTGTTATGATGAAGAGGAGGCACTCTGTACAACAATAACCTCTTCATAACAACAAACCAGCTAAAACCAGTTCCTTATAAAGTAAAACTTCTCAATAAATTTAATTCACTTTTCTTAAAGCAGCACCACTCAACAACAATATTAATCTTTATCTCACCTAAAGAATGCCGCTCTGTTGAGATTGTACTGGTAAGTCTTTCTAATTGCTGCAGACAATAAACTGCTAACTCCTGTGTGTTGTGAGTAAGTATAACTTAACATTACCTCCTTTTATCAAGCTGCACATCTGCACTGATTTATTTGTTATTTCTCTTTTTATTGGGTTTAAAGGCACATTATGCCTCAGATACGAATAGCATTTTACTTTTTTTTTTATAAAGGGCAAGCATGAGTTTTGTAATGTTAAATTGATTTTTTTAGAGCATTTTTAAATGCTTGTTACCTGAAGAAAGTAGCACTAAATGTGAAATTATTTGTCATAAAAATGACAAAATGTAAAGAAAGTAGTATTATGAATCCCATACAAAATACTAAATCACTATAACTGTACTTATTGCCATAGTAGAAAAGATGTTTATGATTTTTTTTGGAAAATGAGGAACATTTTGATAACTATAAAAGTACACCATTGCTTTTGGATGAATGAAATAAAAGCATTTCTGGGGCATAATGGGCCTCTTACTTCATACCAACAAAGTATAGGTCATATGGCGACTTTCCTGCTTTACTGCTGGAGGAGGACCTCAGGTGCCCCTTCTGGACATTATTTTCAGACGCTAACGGGCACCTGAGTAGAACCACCGACGTTCCTTTAGCTATCTGGATAGCTTTCTTACATGAAGAATCAACAGACGCTACCGCAGCTCGAACCTATAGCGGAGAGAGGCAAGTGATTTAAAGTGAACGTCCTTAACCACAGACGCCCCTATCTGCACTGATGATTCTTTAAACAATTACAAATTTTAGAAGCAGCTTAAATATGTGTAATAAGAAACTTTTGTCTTATGTGACCAATGTAATTTCCCCCTTGATCATTTTCTCTCTATATCTTAAATGTGTTTAGTGACTTTTGCTTAACATGACCAGGAACTGCTTATTAGTCAGCTAATTTTTAAACTGTAATTTGAATTTGCCGCAGCATAGGAAGTCCCCTGTTTTGTCTGAATATATTTGTTATATAATAAATGCAGCTGAAGAAGGCCAAAAGCTATGGTAAATTCAAATTGTTTTTAATCATATATATACATACATATACATTCATACCTTATTTGAAAAATCCCTAACTGTTCTATATAACTTCTTGCCTTCTTCAGCAAAATATTCAGCTTGTACAAACAAGTCTTGTGTGGTCTTTAAAGGCCCTTCACCTCGTGTAAACAAGTACATGGAAAATGCCATACTGAAATATAAAATTATAGTGATTTTATTCTACTATAACAACTGATGCTTCTTAAACTGATAAATACTAGCATGGTTACAAAAAGAAAATTCTGGAAATACTAGCATGGTTACACAAAGAAAATTCTGGAAATACTAGCATGGTTACACAAAGAAAATTCTGGAAATACTAGCATGGTTACACAAAGAAAATTCTGGAAATACTAGCATGGTTACACAAAGAAAATTCTGGAAATACCAGCATGGTTAAACAAAGAAAATTCTGGAAATACTAGCATGGTTACACAAAGAAAATTCTGGAAATACTAGCATGGTTAGACAAAGAAAATTCTGGAAATACTAGCATGGTTACACAAAGAAAAGTCTGGAAAATTCAATAAAATACATTTAACTTTAAATGGTATTTCAAAAAAAAAAAAAAAAAAAAAAAAAGAAGTGATATTTTCCGAAAGAACAGCAATGCATAGATCCATGACCTGCCTAATTCTAATTATCAGATTTGTGGATACAATAAAAATTTCACCAAAAAATGTTTCTAAAATAAAGAACACAGGTTAAATATATTGTTATCTAAACAAAAAGTCAGAGTATGGATCTATCAATTGCTGTGAATTCCAAAGTTTCATTTGGCTATTTTCCACTGTTTAGAAATGTAGGAAAAGATCTATATTTGGCCTTCATTTTATTTAATTATATATCTTTGTTAAATCACTAATGCTTTAAAGGGTATAAATCTCTATCTTATGAAATATTAATATAAAATGTATCAACAGTAAAGTTATATTGGTTCCATTATTATATGACTGATTCCAGAAATTTTTTTAAGACAGAATGTCTCTGTTATTTAACACACATGAATATTGTACGTAAACTGAATAAAATGTTCTGGAACAAAAACATTATTTTGCTATTTTAAGCAGGTTTTTTTTTAAACGAAGATTTGTTTAAAGTTTTTACTATATAAGGCAATTTATTGCCAATTTTATTTCATACAAACATTTTGTAAGTTTTTTTTTTTTTTAAATCCGATCACTAATTTTTGCATCAGATATAAAGCTTTATATATACACTTTAAGAATGCATCATCTTACATATAAATTATTAAATATGAGCCGCGCCATGACAAAACCAACATAATGGGTTTGCGACCAGCATGGATCCAGACCAGCCTGCGCATCTGCGCAGTCTGATCAGGATCCATGCTGTTCGCTATCAGTTTCTCGACTTGTTATAAAGTATGTAAGTGAACAGCATGGATCCTGATCAGACTGCGCGGATGCGCAGGCTGGTCTGGATCCATGCTGGTCGCAAACCCATTATGTTCGTTTTGTTATGGCGCGGCTCATTTGTGTAAATCACCATACTGACATTACCTGGACATATTTTTGGCTCTTTTAACAATATCATTATCAGGCTCTTCCCACTTGTCAGTTTCCGCGTCCATCTCCGACGTTATCAGCTTCATTTCTAAACCAAGCTTCGCTATCTTAGCTTGCTCCTGTAAATCAATGATATTATTTAAGTGTGTGTGTGTGTGTGTATTTGAATTTATTTAGAATTTAATTATGTTTGATTGTGTAGGAAGCTATAAACTTACAATACACTTTCAAATCTGTTCCTGGAATCAACCAGTACTGAGCAATGAGTGTAAAGTTTCTTGCTCAAGGAAACAACGACATGACCAGGTAAGCACCTGACCAGGTAAGGGATCATTAGATTACTAGTCCGACGCGTTACCCACTCGGCCATACTCGCCACCAGTTGCCCGAACGGGATAGTCCTCCAAAAGAGTATTAGTCATTTTATATATTGCAGGATACAGAAAAGTGCCCCCCAATTCCAGCGGACAGATTAGTAGTCTCAGTTGGCCAGTCTTGGAATCAAACCCACAATGTTGAGATTACAAGTCTTGCGCTCTAACAGATTGAGCTATGGGGGCTGGCACATACATGTATTACATGTATTTTTTTTAACTTAGTTAGGTTGTGTTTTATATCACACAGACATAATACAGATAATATTGCAACTTTCAAGCTTACTGTTGAAGGAAGACACCATGTAAGCAGTTGTGCACTATTTCAGAAGCTTTCCCACATGGCAAGATTCAGATATATTTTTAAATAGGAAAAGTTCAGACATATTCTTAAATAGGCTAGGTTCACACATATTCTTAAATTGTCTAGGTTCAGACATATTCTTAAATTGGCTAGGTTCAAATGGCTAGATTCAGCTTATTTTTAAATTGGCTAAGTTCAAACATATTCTTAAATTGGCTAGGTTTTGAACATATTCTTAAATTGGATAAGTTTAGACATTTTCTTAAATTGCCTAGGCGCACACATATTCTTAAATTGGCTAGGTTCAGACATATTCTTAAATTGCCTAGGTGCACACATATTCTTAAATTGGCTAGGTTCAGACATATTCTTAAATTGCCTAGGTGCACATATATTCTTAAATTGGCTAGGTTCAGACATATTCTTAAATTGCCTAGGTGCACACATATTCTTAAATTGGCTAGGTTCAGACATATTCTTAAATTGCCTAGGTGCACACATATTCTTAAATTGGCTAGGTTCAGACATATTCTTAAATTGCCTAGGTGCACACATATTCTTAAATTGCCTAGGTGCACACATATTCTTAAATTGGCTAGGTTTGGACATATTCTTAATTTGGATAAGTTCAGACATATTCTTAATTTGGCAGGTTCAACATATTCTAAAATTGTCTAACTCCAGATATATTCTTAAATTGGCAGGTTCGGACATATTCTTAAATTGGCAAGGTTCAGACATATTCTTAAATTGGCTTGGTTCAGCATATTCTAAAATTGTCTAACTCCAGATATATTCTTAAATTGGCAGGTTCTGACATATTCTTAAATTGACAGGTTCGGATATATTCTTAAATTGGCAAGTTTGGATATATTCTTAAATTGGCAGGTTCAGATATATTCTTAAATTGGCTAGGTTCCATATTCTTAAATTGGTTATGATTAATGAATTACCTCTGCATCAAGTTTTCCTGGTCGCAATATTTTGGACGTACTTCCATGTTTCTGAAGATAAAACATAGCAATCATCATAATATCATCATAACAATCTATCATACAGCAAGACACATATATGAGCCGCGTCACGACAAAACCAACATAATGGGTTTGCGACCAGCATGGATCCAGACCAGCCTGCGCATCTGCGCAGTCTGATCAGGATCCATGCTGTTCGCTTACCAACTCTATAACAAGTAGAGAAACTGATAGCGAACAGCATGGATCCTGATCAGACTGCGCGGATGCGCAGGCTGGTCTTGATCCATGCTGGTCGCAAAACCATTATGTTGGTTTTGTCATGACGCAGCTCATATCATAAAGCAAGTTAAGATTAGACATGTATATTTTATATTCATTACTCAACATGACTAAATTGAGGACACTGAGCAAATGAAAAACTATAGCAACTCTTCCAATTCTAATTATATCCTGTATAAATACAATGAAAATGTTGCATAAATTTACACAAGAAAAATTTATACAATTTTTTTTTAAGTTGTCATGCTTCGAAAATACATTATTAGTAATTAAGATTTTTTTTGACAGGATATATGGCCCTATATAACTTATTTATATAGTAGATAGGGTTATATTGCAAACAATAGTTAATATACACTCATATAACCTATCAAAAATTCTTTGTAACAGATTTATATTACTGCAAACTTCCTATTTAGAGGAAAACAATGTGACAGCAGCCATGTATATAAAACCTTTTAATACTGCACGTTTGTAACGTCATTTTTCATTGGATAATCGTGACACTTATATAGTTTTATATACACGGTTGCTGAAGAAATCTTACTTTTTTGTCTCTAAAAATGATGCCTGCTGTATTATAAATTCGTTATAAAGATTGTTGACAGGTTATATGGCCGTATATAAATGGCTGTTTGCAATATAATCCTCGCCCAACGGCTCAGGTTATATTTACAAATAGCCGTTTATATAGGGCCATATAACCGATCAACGATCTTTATAACTTATAATATAAATGTCATAATTTTTTATCCAATGAAAAGCGATGTTACAAACGCGCAGTATTACAAGTGCGATATTATTGGCATCCTGGCTGGAACAAATGGCCTCTTTACATCATACATTTTGTTTTCAAAATGAAGCAGTTGATAAGTGGTTAAGGGGTTTATGTGTCTGCCTCTTAACCCAGAATTCCAGAGTTCAATCTATAATCGGCCAACAACCAGGTTTCCACTCTCAACAACTGTGCTTTTAAGTTCCTGATATTGGACTCAAAAATGATGAATTTAAGTTGCAAGAACTTGTTTCACATTATCTAACTGAAAAAAAAATATATGGAAATCAAACAAAGTTTAGTTAATTAACATCTGTTTCATTAATAGAATGATTTTCTTTATGTTATACAAGAACTATCTCTACGTTCACATGTGAGATTGAGCCCCCCCCCCCCCCCCAGCATGAATGATGAAGGGGGTTGATAATGAATCATGAAGATAATAAAAAAAATAATAAAATAAATACAAATTTTAATTTCTAAATAGTTAAAGTGCAGAGTGTTATAAAAGTAGGTATAATATTAAACTTATGCTGTTTAAACATGCTAGGTTGTAGCAAAATCAGTAAAAAAATGCTGGCTGACAAGGGTAAATACTTGAGGTGCCCGTGTGTCCATTTTTATCAGGTACTGGTAACGCTAAAAAGTTTAAATGTATAAATCTCTCCCTGCCATAGCCGCGTACTATGCTATTTTATATGTTTGTAAATTGAACAAAGTTTAAACAAAATCTTTCAAGCAAGGTCTAATTATTTCTAAGCTATACTATCAACATAATATCAATGTACCAACATAACTTATTATAAGTATTATATACTGACCACAAAAAACGAAAGATATTTTAGAAATAATTTTCTTAAAAATAAACTCATGCTCGCAATTTTCAAAGAAGTAAAAATTGACGTATATGTTCCAGGAAAATCTATTTCAGAATTTGACTAACTCCGGAATTTGGGTTTTTCCCACTTAATCGGTAGGTAAAAACAAACTTTTACAGTTACACCTTTAAAAATACATGCAACAGTTTGACTAATCTATTTTGACAGGAAGTGCACCATGAAGCTATAATGGAAAAAGTTTGTTTTTACCTACAGATTAGCTGGGAAAAACCCACATTTGCCGAGTGACAGAAAACATCTATTCAGCAGGTTCAAGACATATCACAAATCTACAGTATTTATGACCTTTACATTATCATAAATCTACAGTATGATTGACCTTTGACCTTTACATTATCACAAATCTGCAGTATTTAGTTTAATAAACGAACAGTATTTATGACCTTTGACCTTACAATTAGTACAAATCTATAGTATTTATGACCTTTGACCTTTACATTATCACAAATCTACAGTATTTATGACCTTTGACCTTTACATTATCACAAATCTACAGTATTTATGACCTTTGACCTTTACATTATCACAAATCTACAGTATTTATGACCTTTGACCTTTACATTATCATAAATCTACAGTATTTATGACCTTTGACCTTTACATTATCATAAATCTACAGTATTTATGACCTTTGACCTTTACATTATCACAATTTGACCTTTAAATCATCATAAATCTACAGTATTCATGACCTTTGACCTTTACATTATCACAATTTGACCTTTAAATCATCATAAATCTACAGTATTTATGACCTTTGACCTTTACATTATCGCAAACGTACAGTATTTATGACATATGACCTAAAAATTATCATATATCTACAGTATTTATGACCTTTGACCTTTACAATATCAGATATCTGCAGTATTATGACCTCTGACCTAAACATATCACAAATATGCAGTAAAAGTCTCATAAATCTACATTATTTATGACCTTTGACCTTTACATTATCACAAATCTGCAGTAGTTATGACCTTTGACCTCCTTTACACTTCGAACTTAGAGAAAACTACAAAGCAACAAATGGAAAGCTAGGGGAAAAAACAAACTGAAAAGCAACAAAAAGCAGTAAAGTAAAAAGAAACATAGAAACATTGGACAGAATATTATTAAAAACAAACATTAATATATGTATATACAGTTTGATGTAAATATGTTTGTTTGACAGTCACAGAAAATAAAATGAAATGAGACAAATTTTTGAAAACAGAAAACGGTGACATGAAAATTGTGAAACTCCGGACAAAGACTTTAAAACTTTCATATTGATGCCAATTGATATGTCAATCTTAACAGACTTTGAACTAGAAATTTCAAGGGAATAACTCAGTAAACCTTTGAAATTTCTAGATTTCATTTGAATATTGATTTTTAGACTACACTTGAAATTTTGAAATTCAAGGGGAACAAGTAGGAGACCAGCGCAGACCAAGATCAGCTGGTACTGTTCATTTTTCAGTCAGTACATATTTGGAAAATTTCCCTAAAAGTGATGAATGGTTTAGTTAATATTGAAAGAGGGACAAGTTCAATTCAAACATTTTGCCTGGTAAGGGTTAAATATTGTTATATTCTTTTTTTTAAGTGACATTATGCTCATGTTTTCATAGTAAAAGTTTAGCTAAATTGACTTAGCTTTTCAAAAGATTGACTGACATAATTGTTTTTGACCAAAAGTTTTTACTGGAAAATGTTAAGTTTGCAGTTCCCTGTATGTATGGTTACGATATGACCTAAGATTAAACTAAAGTGGCGACATGGCTAAGTGGTTAAAGCGTCAGACTAGTAATCTAATGATCGCTAGCCGCATGGGTTCAAACCCCGTAAAGGGGCAAGTCATTGTTTCCTTGAGCAAGAAACATTACACTTATTGCTCAGTACTTGTTGGTTCCAGAAACGGATTCGAACTCTATAAGTTTATAGCTTCCTACACAATCAAACCAAAAAAAAATTGTATAAAAATTGAACTAAAATAACTACTGTATAAACCAAGATTAAACTATTCCTCCCAATTTTCTAAATACTTAAAAAACACCTGTCTATTGTAATTTACTCTCATTTATTTTGTTAAAATTCAGCCAATCACATATTAAAATTCAGCCAATCACATATTAAAATTCAGCCAATCACATGATATCAATTAGCATTAATATGAAGAACAAGGAACAGAGTTTATAGTGTGTACATTTTACTTACATTTGCAACAGGTTGTGACGCCTTCAAGTTTAAAAGATAAATTTTCTCAATCATGAACTATCTAAACAGTTTACTTCCTCAATTTCTTTTATATAGATATATATATACTATCAGTCACATTAATGTCATGTGACCACATTTATTCTTGCAGGTTGTCGTTTCATTAAGAAACCCTCCATCAGTTCACCACGATATATATATTCCGTACAGCCTACAGCACTGTTTATCCAATAAACAGTGAAATAACAGGTTACACTCTCTGTAGCCAAAATAGCTGCACCCAGCTGCAATGCTTGTCTATCAACAATAATAAACAAGAGCCCGGTTTGAGCCGGGTGATGCTCCCCGAATAGGTTTTGGACACAGGAAAGTACACCTCTTGTAGTTTCAGAGTTATGTCCGTGGAAAAAGTTCAAAGTGCAATAATTCCAAAATTAGGCAAGGCTGTTACAGTTCTTTGCACTGCACTTCTAATCAATGTGATCTATCAACCTACAAAGTTTCTTGATGATATCTCTTATGATTTCCGAGTTATGTCCTGGACAATTCAAAAAGTAAAAATAAACAAAGGGCAATAACTCCAGAATTAGGCAAGGTAGAGTTATGATTCTTGTGCGCTGCACATCTACCCATTGAGATTTATCTACCTACAAAAATTCATGTTGATATCTCTTATAGTTTTACAGCTATGTCCTGGACAAGATTTTTCTAAAAGGGGAGATTATTCAAAAATAAGGCTTAACAGAGTTATGGTTCTTTTGCAGTGCACATCTATCCATTGAGATCTATTCATCTACAAAGTTTCATGTTGATACCTCTTATAGTTTTAGAGTTATGCCCCGGACAAGATTTTTCTACAAGGGGAGATAATTCAAAAACCGGGCAAATAGAGTTATGGTTCTTTGACTGACTGCACTCCCCCTCAATGCCGTCTACCACTGTATGAAGTTTCAACAAATTATCTCCAAGGGTTTTCAAGTTATGTTCCAGACAAAGTTCAAAGTATTAAAGTAAACAAAGGGCAACTCCAATATTAGGACAAAAAGAGTTATTGTTCTTATGCACTGCACATCTACCCATTGAGATCTATTCACCTACAAAGTTTCATGTTGATATCTCTTATAGTTTTAGAGTTATGCCCCGGACAAGATTTTTCTACAAGGGGAGATAATTCAAAAACCGGGCAAATAGAGTTATGGTTCTTTGACACTGCACTCCCCCTCAATGCCGTCTACCACTGTATGAAGTTTCAACAAATTATCTCCAAGGGTTTTCAAGTTATGTTCCGGACAAAGTTCAAAGTTTTAAAATAAACAAAGGGCAATAACTCCAAAATTAGGACAAAAAGAGTTATTGTTCTTATGCACTGCACATCTACCCAGTGAGATCTATTCACCTACAAAGTTTCATGTTGATATCTCTTATAGTTTTAGAGTTATGCCCCGGACAAGATTTTTCTATAAGGGGAGATAATTCAAAAACCCGGCAAAATAGAGTTATGGTTCTTTGACACTGCACTCCCCCTCGATGCCCTCTACCACTGTATGAAGTTTCAACAAATTATCTCCAAGGGTTTTCAAGTTATGTTCCGGACAAAGTTCAAAGTATAAAAATTAACAAAGGGCAATAACTCCAAAATTAGGACAAAAAGAGTTATTGTTCTTATGCACTGCACATCTACCCATTGAGATCTATTCACCTACAAAGTTTCATGTTGATATCTCTTATAGTTTTAGAGTTATGCCCCGGACAAGATTTTTCTATAAGGGGAGATAATTCAAAAACCGGGCAAAATAGAGTTATGGTTCTTTGACACTGCACTCCCCCTTGATGCCCTCTACCACTGTATGAAGTTTCAACAAATTATCTCCAAGGGTTTTCAAGTTATGCTCTGGACAAGACAACGGATGGACAGACGGACAGACGGACGGACGGACAGACGGACAAGGCGCCGACTATAGGCTCCCCCGAAATTTTTCGGGGAGCATAACAAAATATCATACATTATATGGAGATTATTTACTATGATTCTGATTCAAGCAGTTGAATATCTATGATGTCCATGTTTTGAATGTTTTTATCCATAAAGACAGCGCTAAGTGAAGCGAGAATTTCGAGAATTTCATTGGTCAGCTTCACCACTCTATTTTTGCAATGGAACCAATGAAATGTCTCGTGACTGATGCAGTAGTTCGAAGGTTTGTCAGTAAAATAACCCCTAAAAGATCATGTAGTATGTACGAAATATATACAATGGGGTAACAGATGATGTAAGAAACCAGGCATTCCTCCATGCAGTAAATTAAACACAAGTATAAACCAGATCAGGTTAAAGCCAAAAGCTAAACTTAAAAGCTGAATATGATCCACATGATGAGATGGCATTTAAAACATATGAGCCGCATCAGGACAAAACCAACATAGTGTGTTTGCGACCAGCATGGATCCAGACCAGCCTGCGCCTCCGCTGTTCGCTATTAGTTTCAGCTTTCTCTATTTGTAATAGGATTTGTTAGCGAACATCATGGATCCTGATCAGACTGCGCGGACGCGCAGGCTGGTCTTGATCCATGCTGGTCTCAAACTCATTATGTTGGTTTTGTCATGATGCGGCTCAATTATTTTATCAATTATTTTAGTAATGTGGCAACTCTCAAAACTTTTAATCTATATACATATAATCCAAACTTTTGAAAATATTTTAAATAACCGACCAGCTGTTCTCATAGTATAAAAGTTTGAAACTTCATAAAACAAACAGCCTGGGTAATACAGAAAGGAAGTTTTATGCAAAACCTTAACAAAGTGCTACGTTTATGCCTGGGTAAGTAAGAAAGCCCAAAAATTTATCAAAGACAAACTTGACCTAGAATATCAGTGTCATTGATGAATGTGTTTTCCAATGCTGCTTCTGACACAGCTAAATAAATATTGTTACTATGATCAAAATGTAGAAAAATCCAATTTTGGCCTCAATGATTGACCCAATTGACCTGCACCTAGATCACAGGGTAGAACGTCTGTGAGAATTTCAAAGAAATCAAATATCTAAGATATCAATCTGGAATTGTCAATTCCACATGTCTGTTTGTATTGAATAGAAGATAACTTTTAGTGGCAGGACAAGTAGAATATTGTAGTCTGCTAGTAAAATCAAACAGCTATGCTTCCTGCAGGAAAAATGGCTAAGGGCTCTGATAATAATTTTCGATCTCTGTCAATAAATAAATTTCGATCGCTGTCTATTAATAAAATTTTGATTTCTGTCAATTAATAAAATTATCTGTCAATTAATAACTTTTGATATCTGTCAACTAATAAATTTCGATATCTGTCAATTAATAAATTTTGATATCTGTCAATTAAATTTATATATCTGTCAATAAATAAATTTCAATATCTGTCAATTAATAATTTTCAATATCTGTCAATTAATAAATTTTCAATCAATTTGGACTAATATATAAGATGCTATGTAAGAAACCATGTGTATAATGAAAAGACAAACTGGCAACCATTTTATACACTCAATCATTGATAGTCTAAGGGTGAAGCTATAAAGTTTTCTCAACCTACCCCAGGCCTAGGTAATGACATGTACACAAGTCTGTCAGTCTTGCCCTGGCAAAAGTCATTCACTTCCTTCACAAGAATAGACAGGTCGTTAATCTGAGACTCCCAGGCGTCCGCAAACAGATCTAGGTTTTCCTTGGCTATTTTGCTACCTGGATACTGGGCTAGAGTCCTTGCAGCATGTAGAATCTGAAAATATATATAATTACATTACATTTTTGGTCTTTACTAGTGCTGCATTACTTTAGGTGCCCCTTTCTAGCAATGTTCCTAATACAAGAGTTTGTTAAATTTCATTGGGTTTCAAGTTATACTAAATTTCCAGCTTTACTTGTTGAGAAAGACCTAAGCTGTCACCCAGGCAACTGTAGAATCTCTGACCTTCAACATGTAGAATCACTGACCTTCAACCTATAGAATCACTGACCTTCAACCTATAGAATCACTGACCTTCAACCTGTAGAATCACTGACCTTCAACCTGTAGAATCACTGACCTTCAACCTGTAGAATCACTGACCTTCAACATGTAGAATCACTGACCTTCACCTATAGAATCAACGATTTTCAATAAGCTAGCTGCACAGTATCCTCACATGCCAGCTAGGTACCAGAGAATATATGTATAAATCCACCTGTAAGCTATTTAGATAGCTACACCATACGCAACAATACAAGACAAGAATACACGATGCTGATGGTGAAAAGATAAGAAGTCTGAAATTCTTACCTGTATGTTCAGTGTAGGTTATAAAATGGCCCAGTATATATAACCGGCAGTTTCAATTACCCAAGCCCATAAGTGAACAACCATTTGAGCCCTGTCACGACAAAACCAACATAGTGCATTTGCGACCAACATGGATCCAGACCAGCCTGCGCATCTGCGCAGTCTGATCAGGATCCATGCTGTTCGCTTACAAACCCTATAACAAGTAGAGAAACTGATAGCTAACAGCATGGATCCTGATCAGACTGTGCTGATGCGCAAGCTGGTCTGGATCCATACTGATCTCAAACGCACTATGTTGGTTTTGTTGTGACGCAGCTCAAAGAGTTATTATCACAGAAATCATCCATAATTGTTGTTCATTGATTTAAATGATTTTGGTTTTGTCGTGACATGGCTCAAAATTTATACATAGCTATATAACCTGTCAAAACTAATAATGAGTATATGATACTGCATAATCCTTTCCTATGATTAAAATAGAATATTGTTCTTAAATTTGCTGTTGTATATAGATTAATATAAATAAGTCATTGTTCTATGAAAATCAAGTTTATAAACATGTTGTATATAGTAACAACTTACTAAAGGTCCCATTGATCTCAGGATAATCTCATTATGCTCGGCTGTAATGACTAGAGGTTCCGTAGTGGCTATATGTCGGAACAATTTACACACCTGTAAACATAAAACACAACATACACCTTTTACACATCTAGGAAAAACCATAACTAAACGAGTGTGCATGCTAACAAATTTTATTTGGTCTATCAAAAGTGCATTTTAGTGACATGGTTTCTCATTTGCATGCAAGGAAAGTGATTAACTTGTCAGCCTGTTAACCCAGGGATTATGGGCTCAAACGCTACTCCAGTCACAAAAATGTTTCCTTAAAATGAAACTTCATGTGGTATGAAAATAATTATAACTATAATAATTTTCATACTACAAGATGAAAATAAATCCTGTACTTATCGGAAAAACTTGAATTTTCTTTTTATTATATACATTTCTTCTCTTTTTTTTTGTAATTTCTAGCAAGACACCAGTGAAAGTACAGAAAATATGTTTCACTGCAGTGAAAATAAATTTTTACAGTGAAAATACCGAATATGAAAATATCAATTTAGTCTCATCAATATTTCATTTATAAGAATATAACAAACAAGAGCTGTCACGCAAAAGAGACAGAGTTACAGTCCAAACACGGATGTTGTGTAACGGGGAACGCACAATGCAATTTTAATATGCAGCCCTTCTGGGGCATATAATATAATTTATAAGATATTTTGTTTTATCAAACCTCCTCTAACTGTTCTATATGCTCCTCAAATTTGACGGACAACTCGTCCACAGATCCCACTTCACCAGATATCCCAGCCGTTTGTAAACTTCTCAGCAGCATATGATCTTCATTACATTTAAACAATTCGGATGCTTGCTCCATTGCTGTCTCTTGTAACTAGTAAAAGATAGGAATGGTCATAACATTTTATTTTAGGCTTAGAGAATTCACTAATGTGGGTACAGTCATAAAATATTCAGATTGTGTTTTGTTATCTAAATTTTCAGTATCTCAAATATATAAGAAACGACTTTACTGATATCAACATCAACATTATCACAATTCTAGACCTCTCATTGATTCAATGTAAAGCATTTTAACAATAAATCCATCATTACCTATAATAACTTGTCTGTCATTCATTCACTTCCATACCAGTTTAAATGACTTCAATAAAATAAATGAGCCGTGTAACGACAAAACCAACATAGCGGGTTTACAACCAGCATGGATCCAGACCAGCCTGCGCATCCGCGCAGTCTGATCAGGATCCATGCTGTTCGCTATTAGTTTCTATACTTGTTATAGAGTTGGTAAGCGAACAGCATGGATCCCGATCAGACTGCGCGGATGCGCAGGCTGGTCTGGAACCATGCTAGTCGCAAACGCACTATGTTGGTTTTGTCGTGACGCGGCTCAAATGTTCTGTTCAGTGTCTTGTTTATAAATGCCGATTGCATGATTTTTTTCCCAGCCTATTTTTTGTCATCATTGGTACGAAATATTTCTTTTATAGTGTTTGGCATGAACACCTGCTACTGTATATGTTTTGGGTGAATTTTTGTAACATCTAGACATTTAATTAATCAGTCACAATTTTCGATTTTTGAAAACGTGTATCGATTATTGATCAACAGGAAAATATCAATGATACATCAATATTGTTTCTATCTACATGTATTACAGAACTGGTATACTTAATTCTCTTTGTCAGAACATTTTATATACAATAGGTGTTCCTTCCTTAGTGTTAACATACAGTGTTTAGACAACTAGAAATCAAATTTTTACAAAAATAAACAATCCTGATGAAGGATCAATAGAACCGAAACCAGTAGAAAATAAATAACCTTCTTCCAGCTCTGGTGTTGTTGTGTTGTATTTCTTCATGCCGGCTCGCCACGGCGAGCCGGTATTACGGTAGGATTTTACTGAGAAACAACCTAAAACTCCGAAGCTATCCAAAAATTTAATCGAAGCTTGGCTTCCAGCTTTCTACAAAATTTATCTATCAGGGCTAGGATCCAAAATTATTTAGCCAATCAAATTTAATCTTACATAGCGTCAAAAAACCTTCAATTTTCACGCCATTTTTAAAAATCAGCAAGTATTGTTTTGAGCGCAAAGATATAATGATGATTAAAATGTTTGTCTTTATGAATTCTTTTCAATAAATCATATTTACACTGACTTCTGATTTAGGGATAGCCATATAGTAAATGTGCATAGACATAGGTTCTTCATTCTATCTGTTTACATGCACCTTCATATATACTCATACTCATCTTGGTTAAACTGAGAGAACTTTATATGTCACTTTCAGTCAATGAGTTTAAGATTTTGAATTTACTGGCCCGAATTCCAGTTTTGAATTTATTCTACTAAATAATTAACAAAATTTTCTTAAATTTACACTGGCCTGAACTTATATACACTGGCCATCGGGCACCGGGCCAGTGTTGACTTCACTTTTATTTTGATGTTCGCTGAAGTCTCTTCAGCTAACAGAACTGTCATTTTTACATTTAAACACACCCCTTGAAAAAAATTACGAAGCGAGTCGCTACTAGCTTTTTTAAAAGCTAACCTTGTTTTCCTTTTATATTGAAAAAAAAAATTTAAAAAAAAAAAAAAAAAAAAAAAAAAATATTTTGAAAAAAGCAACAAAAAAAAAACAAAACAATAATCAAATGTCAATGTTATGTTCTTGTTTTTCAAGTTAAAAGATTTGAAAATAACTTACTTGTTTCTTCAGTGATTTGGATACTTCTAGTGTTTTTAGGATCGATGTTTCTAGTTCCTGTGTTGCTATTGAATCTTTATGCATCTGTAAAATAAAACAAACGTTCTCTCATGTTACTACACTATCTCATTAATGGTTTCTTTTCTTAAAATTGAGTTTGTTTGCAGGCTTAGTGTTGGTGATATTTTCTTCACTTCTCTTGCCAGATTTTGGTGATATGAGCCGCGCCATGACAAAACCAACATAGTGCATTGGCGACCAGCATGGATCCAGACCAGCCTGCCCATCCACGCAGTCTGATCAGGATTCATGCTGTTCGCTTACAAACCCTATAACAAGTAGAGAAACTGATAGTGAACAGCATGGATCCTGATCAGACTGTGCGGATGCGCAGGCTGGTCTGGATCCATGCTGGTCGCAAACCCATTATGTTGGTTTTGTCATGGGGCAGCTCATATATATATATATCTCCCAATGTTGGTCAGAGAACTATTTGAATTATTATCTATATTTGCTTATTTTTTTTTATTCAAATTTATCATTTCTTTGTTTCTTTTGTTGGTTTATTATATTTGTCTATTTTTCTGTTTTGTTTATAAAGATAGCGTTTGAAGATTGAGTTTTGTCTTTAGTTTTAGTCTGACAAATTTTCTATATAGCAAACCCACAAAACAGAAACAAAGAAATTTTCCTCATCAAAATAAGAAAAATAACAAATTTGCCCAATCTGAATCAAAAAGAAAGATTTGACTTATGATTATAATATGTCAAAATTTTAAGATGAAGCGTAAGATTTTTGTGTGAAAATGGCAGCCGATCTGATTGGACAAATGACTTGGTTAAAGACAGACTACTGGTTATGGACTTCCTGTCTAAAATGCACAGAATAAATGAAACCCACAACTAACTCTGCCATTCATACATTTCAACCATTTGCTTAAATAAAATCTTATCAACTTGGCTACAGAAATTTTCATTTGACTACATGTTATGCTATTTTTGATACAATCCATTTGAAATAAGAAAATTATAAAAATTTAGCTAAAAGAAATTGTCAATCAGGCATGCAAGTCAATATCATCTAAATTTCCTGTTTTAATTCCTCTAAAGAGGTCTCCTCCCCTTGAAGAACACACTCTCGACAAATATAAAAGAAGGTAATAAAAATATTTTACTGTTGACAGGAGCAATAACTCCGATGCATTTTTTTTTCTTTGCAGGTAGAATTCTGCAAACCTAGAGTTTTCTGTCACTATAACATACCTGTAAAACTCCTGTCTTTATAAGAACATGTACAGCCTGCTGTAGTTGTTCTACAATTTCCATTATCTTCTCGCGATGGTCATGTGACGTGTAGGCGGAGTCAGTAAAATCTTGAGTGGTTTCTATGACAACATCCAAGGCACTGCGTAGTTTATCAGCAAAGTAATTGTTTATATGAGTGACTCTCACCATCTCCACTTGATCCTAATAACAAGATAGATTTGAGCCGCGCCATGACAAAACCAACATAATGGGTTTGCAACCAGCATGGATCCAGACCAGCCTGCTCATCCACGCAGTCTCATCAGGATCCATACTGTTCCCTATCAGTTTCTGTACTTGTAATAGAGTATGTAAGCAAACAGTGCGGAGTCGCAGGCTGGTCTGGAACCATGCTGGTCACAAACCCATTATGTTGGTTTTGTCATGGCGCAGCTCATTTTAGTAAAAATTAACTTTAACTCTTAATGGGACAACATAGTCAATTATTGCTAAAAATACCTAAAACGACCCACAACATAGTCAATTATTGCTAAAAATACCTAAAACGACCCACAACATAGTCAATTATTGCTAAAAATACCTAAAACGACCCACAACATAGTCAATTATTGCTAAAAATACCTAAAACGACCCACAACATAGTCAATTATTGCTAAAAATACCTAAAACGACCCACAACATAGTCAATTATTGCTAAAAATACCTAAAACGACCCACAACATTGTCAATTATTGCTAAAAATACCTAAAACGACCCACAACATAGTCAATTTATAATTGCTAAAAAATACCTAAAACGACCCACAACATAGTCAATTATTGCTAAAAATACATATAACGACCCACAACATAGTCAATTATTGCTAAAAATACCTAAAACGACCCACAACAATAGTCAATTTATAATTGCTAAAAATACCTAAAACGACCCACAACATAGTCAATTATTGCTAAAAATACCTAAAACGACCCACAACATAGTCAATTATTGCTAAAAATACCTAAAACGACCCACAACATTGTCAATTATTGCTAAAAATACCTAAAACGACCCACAACATAGTCAATTTATAATTGCTAAAAATACCTAAAAAACGACCCACAACATAGTCAATTATTGCTAAAAATACCTAAAACGACCCACAACATAGTCAATTATTGCTAAAAATAAGTAAAACAACATACAACAGTCAATTATTGCTAAAAATAACTTAAACGACCTACAACATAGTCAATTATTGCTAAAAATACCTAAAACGACCCACAACATAGTCAATTATTGCTAAAAAATACCTAAAACGACCCACAACATTGTCAATTATTGCTAAAAATACCTAAAACGACCCACAACATTGTCAATTATTGCTAAAAATACCTAAAACGACCCACAACATTGTCAATTATTGCTAAAAATACCTAAAACAAACGACCCACAACATAGTCAATTATTGCTAAAAATACCTAAAACGACCCACAACATAGTCAATTATTGCTAAAAATAAGTAAAACAACATACAACAGTCAATTATTGCTAAAAATAACTTAAACGACCTACAACATAGTCAATTATTGCTAAAAATACCTAAAACGACCCACAACACTATTGTCAATTATTGCTAAAAATACCTAAAACGACCCACAACATAGTCAATTTATAATTGCTAAAAATACCTAAAACGACCCACAACATAGTCAATTATTGCTAAAAATACCTAAAACGACCCACAACATATTGTCAATTCAAAATTGCTAAAAATACCTAAAACGACCCACAACATTGTCAATTGCTATTGCTAAAAATACCTAAAACGACCCACAACATAGTCAATTATTGCTAAAAAATACCTAAAACGACCCACAACATAGTCAAATTGCTAAAAATACCTAAAACGACCCACAACTAGTCAAAAATATTATTGCTAAAAATACCTAAAACGACCCACAACATTGTCAATTATTGCTAAAAATACCTAAAACGACCCACAACATTGTCAATTATTGCTAAAAATACCTAAAACAAACGACCCACAACATAGTCAATTATTGCTAAAAATACCTAAAACGACCCACAACATAGTCAATTATTGCTAAAAATACCTAAAACGACCCACAACATAGTCAATTATTGCTAAAAAATACCTAAAACGACCCACCCAACATAGTCAATTATTGCTTAAAAATACAACTAAAAAACCGACCCACAACATAACTAAAAATACCTAAAACGACCCACAACATGTCAATTATTCATATTATTGCTAAAAAATACCTAAAACGACCCACAACATAGTCAATTTATAATTGCTAAAAATACCTAAAACGACCCACAACATAGTCAATTATTGCTAAAAATACCTAAAACGACCCACAACATAGTCAATTTATAATTGCTAAAAATACCTAAAACGACCCACAACATAGTCAATTATTGCTAAAAATACCTAAAACGACCCACAACATAGTCAATTATTGCTAAAAATACCTAAAACGACCCACAACATTGTCAATTATTGCTAAAAATACCTAAAACGACCCACAACATAGTCAATTATTGCTAAAAATAAGTAAAACAACATACAACAGTCAATTATTGCTAAAAAATACCTAAAACGACCCACAACATAGTCAATTATTGCTAAAAATACCTAAAACGACCCACAACATTGTCAATTATTGCTAAAAATACCTAAAACGACCCACAACATAGTCAATTTATAATTGCTTAAAATACCTAAAACGACCCACAACATAGTCAATTATTGCTAAAAATACCTAAAACGACCCACAACATAGTCAATTATTGCTAAAAATACCTAAAACGACCCACAACATAGTCAATTATTGCTAAAAATAAGTAAAACAACATACAACAGTCAATTATTGCTAAAAATACCTAAAACGACCCACAACATAGTCAATTATTGCTAAAAATACCTAAAACGACCCACAACATTGTCAATTATTGCTAAAAATACCTAAAACGACCCACAACATTGTCAATTATTGCTAAAAATACCTAAAACAAACGACCCACAACATAGTCAATTATTGCTAAAAATACCTAAAACGACCCACAACATAGTCAATTATTGCTAAAAATAAGTAAAACAACATACAACAGTCAATTATTGCTAAAAATACCTAAAACGACCCACAACATAGTCAATTATTGCTAAAAATACCTAAAACGACCCACAACATTGTCAATTATTGCTAAAAATACCTAAAACGACCCACAACATTGTCAATTATTGCTAAAAATAAGTAAAACAACATACAACAGTCAATTATTGCTAAAAATACCTAAAACGACCCACAACATAGTCAATTATTGCTAAAAATAAGTAAAACGACCCACAACATAGTCAATTATTGCTAAAAATACCTAAAACGACCCACAACATAGTCAATTATTGCTAAAAATACCTAAAACGACCCACAACATAGTCAATTATTGCTAAAAATAAGTAAAACAACATACAACAGTCAATTATTGCTAAAAATACCTAAAACGACCCACAACATAGTCAATTATTGCTAAAAATACCTAAAACGACCCACAACATAGTCAATTATTGCTAAAAATACCTAAAACGACCCACAACATTGTCAATTATTGCTAAAAATACCTAAAACGACCCACAACATTGTCAATTATTGCTAAAAATAAGTAAAACAACATACAACAGTCAATTATTGCTAAAAATACCTAAAACGACCCACAACATAGTCAATTATTGCTAAAAATACCTAAAACGACCCACAACATAGTCAATTATTGCTAAAAATACCTAAAACGACCCACAACATAGTCAATTATTGCTAAAAATAAGTAAAACAACATACAACAGTCAATTATTGCTAAAAATAACTTAAACGACCCACAATGTAAGTAAAAAAGAATCAATCAGGAAAATTGTCCAGTGTTTGGGAATTCTCAATAATTGGAATTTAGAAATTTAATCAAATTTCCAAATGATTTGTGTTGTCTTCAACCAAATTGTTGAAGTAAATTTTATTAATTATTATATACCACTGGTTCAAACTTACAATGTCCAGGAATTCTATCAATAAACATAAACATTTTGTTGTGTTACTTTCCTGATTTTTTTTTTTTCAATTTGTGTTCAATTGCACAGTAACATTATCACGAAGGCCAGAAATGACATATTTACTTCAGACAATCAAAAATATTATGAGCTACACTGAAGTAATTTTCATGATGTCATTTGGACTTTTGATGTTACATAAATCTGATAGATGACTTGTAAAATTAATATTCCTTGCCTTATTCACAGCATTATCATATAATTATGAAATAGAGTGCTGCGCACAATCAGTTTAATAATAAAACATGATTTATACACTTTCTATCATTAGCACAAACCTCAAAATCTTTTATTGCTTTATTTGCACTTTGACCCGACCCTCCTAACACTATTCCAGAATCACCATTGACTACTGTAGGCGATGTGTTGCCATTGGTCACAGAGTGGTAGCCTGTATCCGTGGCAACATTGTGAATGAGGAATAGAGCTTGACGCATCTGTATAAATAGACCGTGACGGTTCTGCCTAGCTGAGTAACATTCCGGGTGTCTGAGGCATGTCTGTAATACCAAGGTCAAAGGTTAAGTTTATAATGGTTAAACAACAAGGTCAAAGGGCATATTCCGGGTGTCTGAGGCATGTCTGTAATACCAAGGTCAAATGTCAAGTTTATAAAGGTTAAACATCAAGGTCCAAGGTCAAGGATATAAAGATTTAACATAAAATTTCTTATTTTTACACATTACACCAGCAAAAAAAAGAAAATGACCCAAAAAAACTACAGCTTTACCCTACTAGCAGAAAGTACTAACATTCAAACCTGTAAGTTAAAATTTCAGTATTTTTTATGGTTTTGTGATTTTTCCAGACTTATTAATATTATTTATTCATTTATTGTTTAACAGTGATGATTTTCTATATATTAGAAGATACATGTTAAATATTGTGAAAACTCTGTCTCTTTCTTTTATTGCTTTGTTTCCAAACTTAAAGTGTTTAAAAAAATTGTCAAGCCTATATGAACTCTTGTATATGTAATATGTATATAATTTGTTTACAGAATATCCGACCCACTATGAATGGCTTTCAGCTCACATAACAAGAGCCACTTGGTAAGGATTACAGTGAAAACAATCATTTATACATCACCATACATCACCAAACACAACCATATACAAGAGGGCGATGATGGCCCTGAGGTCGCTCACCTGTATATAGGCCCCCCACCCCCGGGCCAATTTTCACCCAAGGGCTTTTATTTGTTTATTTGAACAGACTTGGTAGACACCCATAAGAAGATGTTTCATGCTAAACATCTAAGTTCTAGCTCATTGGCTTTTTTAAAAGAAGATTTTTAAAGTTTTTACTATACACATATAGTTAAAAACAATGACACCCCTGGGGCAGGGCCAGTTTTGACCCCCGGGCATTTATTTTAACAAACTTTGTAGATATTTACTAAAAGATGTTTCATGCTTAATATCTAAACTCTAGCTATTTGAGTTTTTCCAAAGAAGATTTTTAAGTTTTTGCTATACACATATAAGGAAAATCAATGACCCCCCGGGCGGGGCCAGTTTGGACCCCAGGGCTGTTATTTGAACATACTTGGTAGACACCCATTAGAACATGTTTCATGCTAAATATCTTAGCTCTAGCTCTTTGAGTTCTTTAAAAGAAGATTTTTTAAGTTTTTACTATATGCATATAGGGAAAATCAATGACCCCCTGGGGCAGGGCCAATTTTGACCCTAGGGCTTTTATTTGAACAAACTTGGTAGACACTCATTAGAAGATGTTTCATGCTAAATATCTTAGCTCTAGCTCTTTGGGTCCTTTAAAAGAAGATTTTTTAAGTTTTTACTATATGCATATAGGGAAAATCTATGACGCCCTGGGGCGGGGTCAATTTTGACCCCAGGGCTTTTATTTGAACAAACTTGGTAGACATTCACTAGAAGATGTTTCATGCCAAATATCTAAGCTCTAGCTCTTATGGTTCTTTAAAAGAAGTTTTTTAAGTTTTTACTATACGCATATAGGGAAAATCAATGACCCCCAGGGGCGGGGCCAATTTTGACCCCAGGGCTTTTATTTGAACAAACTTGGTAGACATTCACTAGAAGATGTTTCATGCCAAATATCTAAGCTCTAGCTCTTACGGTTCTTTAAAAGAAGATTTTTTAAGTTTTTACTATATGCATATAGAGAAAATCAATGACCCCCAGGGGCGGGGCCAATTTTGACCCCAGGGCTTTTATTTGATCAAACTTGGTAGACACCCATTAGAACATGTTTCATGCTAAATATCTTAGCTCTAGCTCTTTGGGTTCTTTAAAAGAAGATTTTTTTTAAGTTTTAACTATATGCATATAGGGAAAATCAAAGACACCCTGGGGCGGGGCCAATTTTGACCCTAGGGCTTTTATTTGAACAAACTTGGTAGACACTCACTAGAAGATGTTTCATGCTTTATATCTAAACACTAGCTATCTGGGTTTTTTCAAAGAAGATTTTTAAGTTTTTGCTATACACAGTCATATAAGGAAAATCAATGACCCCCGGGGCGGGGCCAATTTTGACCCTAGGGCTTTTATTTGAACAAACTTTGTAGACACTCACTAGAAGATGTTTCATGTTTTATGTCTAAACTCCACCTATTTGGGTTTTTTTTTAAAGTTTTTGCTATACACAAATAAGGAGAATCAATGACCGCCGGGGCGGGGCCAATTTTGACCCCAGGGCTTTTATTTGAACAAACTTGGTAACACCCATTTGAACATGTTTTATACTAAATATCTTAGCTCTAGCTCTTTGAGTTGTTTAACAGAAGATTTTTTAAGTTTTTGCAATACACATATAGGGAAAATCATTGACCCCCTGGGGCGGGGCCAATTTTGACCCTAGGGCTTTGATTTGAACAAACTTGGTAGGCACTCATTAGAAGATGTTTCATGCCAAATATCTAAGCTCTAGCTCTTACGTTTTTTTAGAAGAAGATTTTTTAAGTTTTTCTTATTGGTTGCCATGGCAACCAGAGTTTTTAATGGAATTTAAATTTTTGAACAACTTTGAAAGGGGTCCACCTAAGGATCATTTCTGTAAAGTTTGGTTGCAATTGGCCATGTAGTTTAGGAGGAGATGTTGTTTGAAAAGTTTGACGCCATTTTTTGAAGGACGCACGACGCACGCAGAGTGATGACAAAAGCTCACCTTTGAGCACTTCGTGCTCAGGTGAGCTAATAAAAACCAACAAAAATTAATTCATAAACAGCAGCTGTACACACGTATGTAAGGATATATAAACATCATGATTATCCAATGAAAACTGATGTTACAAATATGTGGTATTACAATATAATATATTATCCACAAGCTAAGTTTTTCAAGCTAATCCTTCATTTCAAACAAACTTTTACTGTTCAAGCTTCCAGGCCCACTACCATTCACAATAGATTACTCAACCTGTTGCACTTATTTCCCAAGTTGTAACTGTAAAAATTTGTTTGTACTCCCGGATTAGCTATGAAAACCAGAAAAAGATTCTTAATTCTGGAGTAAGTCTATTGATAATTGTACTCACTTTACATGAAGGCAGCAGCATCATTGTGGATTTCTCTAATACAGCTCTAGCTGATGCCATCTGTGCTTTCTGTTTATCACTCTTCAGATCCTAGAACACAGAACACAACAAATATATGTAGTCAATCTCACTGCAGTTATCTCCCCATGAAATCTTACATTTTACTGTGCTGATCAGGTAAAGGTGTAATGAAAAAAGGAAAGTAATGTGTTATGAGCAGTTTGACATTTAGTATCATTATCTTTCCTTTCTGTCATGTTTTCACAACTCCCCACCTTGCCCCCCTACCCCCACCCACAAAAAAAATGAGCCGCTTCACAACAAAACCAACATAATGCGTTTGCGACCAGCATGGATCCAGACCAGCCGGAGCATTCGCGCAGTCTGATCAGTATCCATGCTGATCGCCTACAAACCTTATAAAAAGTAGAGGAAACTGATAGCAAACAGCATGGATCCTGAACTGGTCTGGATCTATGCTGTATGCAAACGCACTATGTTGGTTTGTTCTGACGCGGCTCAAATATCTTTTTATTGATATATAGGGGATATTGAATGAGTGTAAGTTTAATACTAAATTTATTGAACGAGTTGAATAAAATCATATTATGCGAGCCTCTGGCCACCATAATATTGTTTTATTCAACTGGTTCAATAAATTTAGCATTGAATCTACACGAATATAATGTTCTATTTATCACATATTCAAAAAGAGAAGGGTTAACAGCTAAAACCTGTCATTTTTATTGACACGCCTATAACATAACACTAACATAAGCGCGCTTTAACACTATGTTCATATATAGCGCAAATGATGTCACGCCAAAGTGCTTTCACACTAGTGTAATATCGTTTTTATCAAATGGCTTTATTACACTCCTGCACCACATTAAAAAAATATATATATGTTCTATCATATTATCTCCCTTTACTAAATTACATGTTTACACAAATGGTCTGAAGGAGCTCAATATGTAAGAACGACGTCGAGCTAGAACTAATTACTGTGAATTCACATAATTCTAAGATCAAGATATCTTGTGGTTTGTTTAAACTGGTGTGTATTGTTTGTTTTGTTGAAAAAAAAATTATAATGTAAAAATAAACACAAAGCAGAAAAAGAAAATTAAATTTGTTGGATCTGAAATTCATGGAATGACCAATTCACGAAAATCACTAAAATGAGTGCTTCACTGATGATGATTTTGCAGTTTTGGAAATCATGCTAAGCCAGTAAATAAATACATATTAACTTTCTTGTGTTTTTACCGAGTGGCAAAAGAACTGGTGGGTGTTTTTTAGTTATGACTGTAGAAGGAACAAAACACAGATACATGAAACAACATAAATGATAATTAATTTACATTTTCGTTGTGGCTGCATGGCCCGAGTGGTTAACTTGCCGATTAGTAATCTAATGATCTCTAGCATGGGTTCAAACTCCTTCAAGAGAGGTCATTGTTTCCTTGAGCAAGAAACTTTACACGCATTGCTCAGTACTGGTTGGTTTATGGAATTGATATAAAAGTGTGTCTATAAGCTTATAGCTTCCTACACAGTCAAACTAAAATAAATTAGGTATAAATCAATTTACATTTTGTCTATCTCCAGTCAGATGGGCAAGTTCGACCATGTTGTTACCAAACTTGCTGAACGCCTGCACAAAGTCTGTAAAACTGTCAACACTCTCTAGCTCTGTAAGACTTGATAATACCTAAAACAGTAAAATAACACCCTAATTATACCTAAAACAGTAAATATAACACCTTAATTATACCTAAAACAGTAAAATAACATTTATTATACCTGAAATATTAAAATAACAATCATTATAATTTATGTAACAGTGTATGTACGTGCTGAGGCCTACATGGAAGATAGGGAAACCAAATGTGCTAGCCTCATTAAAAAAAGTCCTGACTGACTGACTGATTTTTTTGTTTGTTTGTTTGGGTTTTACGTCACACCGACACAGTTTAGGTCATATCCCGACGTTCCAGCTTTACTGGTGGAGGAAGACCTCAGGGGCCCTTCCGTGCATTATTTCAGGCACGACCAGGCACCTGAGTAGAACCATCGACATACATACCAATGGTCGGCTGATTATATAGTCTTGTTAAGTATCTTCTGTGTAAATAATTACATGTAAAAGTTTATAATTTTATCAAAGTAGAATATGTTACTATGATCCCTTGGCCATTTATGTTTGTTTGTTTGATTGGGTTTTACATCACACCAACACAGTATAGGTCATTTGGCGATGTTCCAGCATTATTTCAGGCACGAACGGGCACCTAAGAAGACCCACAGACTTTCGGTAAGCTAGCTGGATAGCTTCCTCACATGAAAGAATTCAAAGTCCCTGTCGAGATTCGAACCCACAGCGGTGAGGGGCAAATGGTTTGAAGTCAAGGACCTTAACAACTCGGCCACTCACTGACTGACTTTAGTTTCTTACTTCCTTACTATATGCTACACAGTACTCACTATGACAATTTCCCTAATAAAATTATAACCGGTTTTGTCCAAAATGAAAGATGGACAAGTCCATTCAATCCCCTATAGTGTGTTAAGGGTTAAATGTAAATTAGCCGTGTCACGACAAAACCAACATAATGGGTTTGCGTCCAGCATGGATCCAGACCAGCCTGCGCGTCCGCACAGACTGATCAGGATCCATGCTGTTCGCTATCAGTTTCTCTACTTGTAAAAGAGTTGGTAAGCGAATAGCATGGATCCTGATCGGACTGCGCGGATGCGCAGGCTGGTCTGGATCCATGCTGGTTGTAAACGCACAATGTTGGTTTTGTCGTGACGCGGCTCAAATATAAATTACCTTATCTTTGGATGTAATCAGCTGTTTGATAATTACTTTATCAGCAATAAGTAAAACTTTGGTGATAGCAGAGAGTAATTTCCGTGCCGCTCGCACCATGTGATTCTTTTCTGTGAAAGGTTTCAACGATCCATCATTAACCACCTGGTTATGCATTGTCAACTGTTTGATAGCATTACCTGTAAAATTAGGAATACAATGAAAAAATGTACAAGCAAACTGTAAAGGTAAATTATGCCTCAGAAACAGAATTTTTCTTCTATTTTTTTTTTTTTCATTCTTAAGAAAGGGCAAACATAGAGTTTTTAATTTAAATGTTTAAATAATGATTGTAAATACTTATACATTTCTTAAACAGTAAACATATTCATCCTTAGAAGATTCTAAGGGGGGGGGGGGGGATCCCAGTCCAGTCGTGTCAAAAAACCTCAGTGGAGTCCCTTTAATTTACAATTATTACAGGATCCACAATCATAATATTTTAGCTCTAATTGACCTAACTGAAGACACAGGAGCATTTGATGTTTATTTTAGAATATTTTAGTTGTTTTGTAGTTTTTTCCTTAGATTTTTTTTAAAGGGAGAATTCAGTTGGAATGGTTTATGTCATATCTCTTCATAACAATGCTATCCTTTTAAAGGCATATTATGCCTCAGAAAGGAATAGATTTTTCCACATTCTGAAAGGACAAACACAAGTTTTAAAATGTTAGAATTATTGTTTTAGAGCAAGTTAGATTCAAAATATGATTCAGGTAAATACACACTTTGGGAACACCAAAACAAAAAGCATTTGAGGAATAACTAGAACTGCCACTGTCATGGCGTGAATACCCCCGCATACCACTTTGTAAGAATCAACAGTGGCCATTTAGAGATCAAGCCAAATCTGAGGTTACTAAGCCTTTGCATTGCTAAGTTATGTATTCTACATGCTTCAAATGTGAAAATGTCAAAATCAATACACTGCTGACAGGCATTCTTAAGCAATTGAGGGGAAAAAGCTTTTTTTAAGTCAAGGTCCCTGTGACCTTGACCTTTGACCCAGTGACCTCAAAATCAAAACGGGTCACCTTATGGTCATAACTAACCTCCATGCCAAATATGAAGACTGTGGATCAAAGGAATCTTAAGTTATTGGGCGGACAAGCTTTTATAGTCAAGGCCCCTGTGACCTTGACCTTTGACCCAGTGACCTCAAAATCAATAGGGGTCATCTACTTGTCATGACTAACCTCCATGCCAAATATGAAGACTGTGGGTCAAAGGAATCTTAAGTTATTGGGCGGACAAGGAAAAAGTTATTGGGCGGACAAGCTTTTTATAAGTCAAGGCCCCTGTGACCTTGACCTTTGACCCAATGACCTCAAAATAAAAAGGGGTCATCTACTTGTCATGACTAACCTCCATGCCAAATATGAAAACTGTGGGTCAAAGGAATCTTAAGTTATTGGGCAGACAAGCTTTTTATAGTCAAGGCCCCTGTGACCTTGACCTTTGACCCAGTGACCTCAAAATCAATAGGGGTCACCTTATGGTCATGATCAACCTCCATGCCAAATATGAAGACTATGGGTCAAAGGAATCTTAAGTTATTGGGCGGACAAGCTTTTTATAGTCAAGGCCCCTGTGACCTTGACCTTTGACCCAATGACCTCAAAATCAATAGGGGTCATCTACTTGTCATGACTAACCTCCATGCCAAATATGAAGACTGTGGGTCAAAGGAATCTTAAGTTATTGGGCAGACAAGGAAAAAACGACGGACCGCCGGCCGGCCGGACGGCCGAAATGGAATAAGGGGCCATTTCTTTTGTTATTTTCTATTGTTTAATAGAGGGCCAATGGCCCCTTACTCTATTGTTACGGAATGAACTCTATTGTTCTCTTTTGTTCTGTTTACAGTTAGATGGCCCCCTATCCTTATTCGGTAGTGCAGCGGGGTGTCTGGACGGACAAGCTGATTCCAGGATACCCCCCTTACAACTTCCTTGTGCGGGGGTATAAAAATTAAAGCATTTCTAGAGTCAAATGGCCTACAATATGGACAAATTCTGTCGCGCAACTGCAAACCAACAATTTTTTAGTTCTGGCCTTATAAATTATAAAACTACTATTGACTTACCAGCTTGTCTTGCCTCAAGGCAAGTTTCACACATCTCACTGCGTAGGTCCGGATGTTCATCTCCGATAGATTCTCCGACAGCAACAAACCTGTCGACAGCTAAACTGACAGCCTCACCAACCTTAGCTAGAGCCCTCGCTGTCCGCTCTGTGATCTTCGTTCTTTCTTTATGGTTGACTAGAGTTGTAATCTGTAATATAGTAATTACATTCGTATAGCAGCCTAGTTTTCCGACTACACATGACTTAAATACATTTTTTTTAAAGTTTGTTTAAAAATATTTTACAAATATCACATTTGCCAAAGTTGACATCACTTGCCTCATTTCGGTCCCCAGTGGTAGGGTGAAAATGTCCTGACCATGATTATGTTCTTAACCAAGCCATTATATGAACTTTTTTTTTTGCAACAACCCAAAATAATAAAAGAGAGTAAATTAAATAAACATATGACAAATATTTACATGTTTTGGTTTTACAACTTGTAAAAAGCCATGACATGAATCAAAACATGCTTGACTATAATAGGATTACACGTATCAATGATATACCAAATGCTTTATCCCAAATCCATGCATGCAGCAAACCGGCCCCTAGGGCCTCCACACATGCCATCTCCATATCCCTCTTATATCAACCACCCAATCCATGCATGTCAAACCCCCCAAGCCATCCCCATGAGGCATGACCCAAATCTACAAATGTAAAACCCCTTAACGCTTAACCTTACACATGCCACCTCCAGACCCCTAATGCATAATCCCCTATTCCTGCATGTGAGATCTCCAATTCCCCCATGCATCCCCCCCCCCATTATCAGTAAGATGTTGAGATTTGTAACATGTCCCTGAGTCCAAAATATAACTTGTTTCCAACTTTTAACTACTACACCCCTGCATAATATAAAAATAAACTACTTAAATAAGTACACTGTTATATCATCAACTTTTCCTGTTGGTACACCCCTGCTTATGAACTACTAAAATGTTATATAGATCAATTATTCTTGTTGATACGCCTCTGTATATAAACTACTAAAATATGTTCACTGTCTGTTATATAATCAATTATTCCTGTTATTACATCATACAAACAGTGGATAGCAGCATTGTGCAAATTAATTTACAAAATATCTACTAAACGTTTCTCCCTGGAGGGCACAGTTTTGTTGAATTTCTCCTGTATTATTTGTATAGTGAGCTTGCATGATTCCAGGGGATAAAATCCAATTATCCAATTCTCCTCTGTTCCCAGACACCATTGATCCAGTTTACAATAAAAACAAGGACAGTAACAGTAAGCTTCAGTGACTCAGACCCCCCCCCCCCCAAACCCCCTCACAATTTATAGACACTAATTGGTATAGTTAATTGAAAGCTGCAAGTCTCTAAATAAACAAAAATATTAAACTGCAATAATTGTCTAAACAAACAAAAATGTTAAAACATTTAAAACTGATCACAGACTGAAAAGTGTTGCTTCTTATATTGTGACAGACAAACTAGTATTTGAACAACAGTCTTTTCCTTATAAAGTTCATAATAGAGGTGTAAATAACCTTTAACTTGGTGAATTCCCAAACTTGGCCAGCTTCCATTTTTTTCATCATTGGATAAGAATTATTCAGCCAATTAACAATATTGAACCTGGTCTGACTGAAGGGTGATCAGACTGCAGGGATGTGCAGGCTGGGCAGGTTGTAAGACTGCAGGGATGTGCAGGCTGGGCAGGTTGTCAGACTGCAGGGATGTGCAGGCTGGGCAGGTTGTCAGACTGCAGAGATGTGCCGGCTGGGCAGGTTGTCAGACTGCAGGGATGTGCCGGCTGGGCACTGGTTGTCAGACTGCAGGGATGTGCCGGCTGGGCACTGGTTGTCAGACTGCAGGGATGTGCCAGCTGGGCAGGTTGTCAGACTGCAGGGATGTGCCGGCTGGGCAGGTTGTCAGACTTCAGGGATGTGCCGGCTGGGCAGGTTGTCAGACTGCAGAGATGTACCAGCTGGGCAGGTTGTCAGATTGCAGGGATGTACCAGCTGGGCAGGTTGTCAGACTACAGGGATGTACCAGCTGGGCAGGTTGTCAGACTGCAGAGATGTGCCGGCTTGGCAGGTTGTCAGACTGCAGGGATGTGCCGACTGGGCAGGTTGTCAGACTGCAGGGATGTGCCGACTGGGCAGGTTGTCAGACTGCAGGGATGTGCTGGCTGGGCAGGTGGTCAGACTGCAGGGATGTGCCGGCTTTGCAAGTTGTCAGACTGCAGGGATGTGCCAGCTGGGCAGGTGGTCAGACTGCAGGGATGTGCCGGCTTATCAGGGCAGGTGGTCAGACTGCAGGGATGTGCCAGCTGGGCAGGTTGCCAGACTGCAGGGATGTGCCGGCTTATCAGGGCAGGTGGTCAGACTGCAGGGATGTGCCTGCTGGGCAGGTGGTCAGACTGCAGGGATGTGCCTGCTGGGCAGGTGGTCAGACTGCAGGGATGTGCCTGCTTTGCAGGTGGTCAGACTGCAGGGCAGGTTGTAAGACTTCAGGGATGTGCTGGCTGGGCACTGGTTGTCAGACTGCAGGGATGTGCCGGCTGGGCAGGTTGTCAGACTGCAGGGATGTGCCAGCTGGGCAGGTTGTCAGACTGCAGGGATGTGCCGGCTGGGCAGGTTGTCAGACTGCAGGGATGTGCCTGCTGGGCAGGTTGTCAGACTGCAGGGATGTGCCAGCTGGGCAGGTTGTCAGACTGCAGGGATGTGCCGGCTTATCAGGGCAGGTTGTCAGACTGCAGGGATGTGCCAGCTGGGCAGGTGGTCAGACTGCAGGGATGTGCCTGCTGGGCAGGTGGTCAGACTGCAGGGATGTGCCTGCTTTGCAGGTGGTCAGACTGCAGGGCAGGTTGTCAGACTTCAGGGATGTGCCGGCTGGGCACTGGTTGTCAGACTGCAGGGATGTGCCGGCTGGGCAGGTTGTCAGACTGCAGGGATGTGCCGGCTGGGCAGGTTGTCAGACTGCAGGGATGTGCCGGCTTGGGCACTGGTTGTCAGACTGCAGGGATGTGCCGGCTGGGCAGGTTGTCAGACTGCAGGGATGTGCCGGCTGGGCAGGTGGTCAGACTGCAGGGATGTGCCCGCTGGGCAGGTTGTCAGACTGCAGGGATGTGCCAGCTGGGCAGGTTGTCAGACTGCAGGGATGTGCCAGCTGGCAGGTTGTCAACTGCAGGGATGTGCCGGCTGGGCAGGTTGTCAGACTGCAGGGATGTGCCCGCTGGGCAGGTTGTCAGACTGCAGGGATGTGCCAGCTGGGCAGGTTGTCAGACTGCAGAGATGTGCCTGCTTTGGCAGGTTGTCAGACTGCAGGGATGTGCCGGCTTGGCAGGTGATCAGACTGCAGGGATGTGCCGGCTGGGCAGGTTGTCAGACTGCAGGGATGTGCCGGCTGGGCAGGTGGTCAGACTGCAGGGATGTGCCGCCTGGGCAGGTTGTCAGACTGCAGGGATGTGCCGGCTGGGCACTGGTTGTCAGACTGCAGGGATGTGCCGGCTGGGCACTGGTTGTCAGACTGCAGGGATGTGCCGGCTGGGCACTGGTTGTCAGACTGCAGGGATGTGCTGGCTGAGCAGGTAGTCAGACTGCAGGGATGTGTTGGCTGAGCAGGTAAGTCAGACTGCAGGGATGTGTTGGCTGGGCAGGTAGTCAGACTGCAGGAATGTGCCGGCTGGGCGGGTGGTCAGACTTCAGGGATGTGCCGGCTGGGCAGGTAGTCAGACTGCAGGGATGTGCCGGCTGGTCTGGCTCTATCTTAGTAACAATGTACAGGGAAAGGGGCTAATCACTTATAATTTCAGGCTTTCAGCAGTGGAAGGGAAAACTTTATGATATAATCTATGGTTATTATTATATTGATATATAGTCCTGCATATCAGACAGGAGATTCTACTGTTAATAACAGTGCTAGTCAAAATATATTGACAAGCCAAAGCTAGATTCTGAGATATTTTCGTTCTGGGTCAGAATCTCAGAGGCGAGAAATTGCCCAGTCACAAAATAGCACAATATTTTGTCGCGCATTACAATTAGTTTGACTTATAACAGTGCTAGAAAAAAATCATCAGCATGCTTAAAATAATGTTATTCTTACATGCCTTTTATAAACAAATTGCTTGCTTAGAAAGATTAACTGCCTAGCAATTTTTTTTTATTAAGAATCACATCTTTATATCTGTTCATGTTTTTTAATTGTAAATAATTATACAATCTGGGATATAATTATGTTGAATAAAATTGAAAATAATTGGTTCTAATCTTTAAACATTCGCAATTTGTTTTGAACTCCATATAATTTTGATGGAAAAAAAATATTTTGGATACAGACAAATATTTGACCTACCTACCTTGTAACCTACCTAATCGAGTCACAGGAGGGGGAACAAGAGAAAAAAATTAATTCAGGGCTTGCCAAAAAAAAACAACATGCAGTAGTACAAAGAAGCACATTGTTGATCAAACTGGGAGACATCAACATAAGTTTCAGCTTAAATCATACATGTACAATGTACCCTTTTTTTTCTATTTCAAATATCTTTCATGAAAAGAAGTAAATGTGTGGGTATACTTAATAACTTTATCTGCACTGAGCATTAAGGCATTAATTAATTGAGCCGCATCATGTCAAAACCAACATAGTGGGTTTGCGACCAGCATGGATCCAGACCAGCCTGTGCATCCACGCAGTCTGATCAGGATCCATGCTGTTCGCTTACAAACCCTATTACAAGTAGAGAAACTGATAGCATATGCGCAGGCTGGTCTGGATCCATGTTGGTCGCAAACCCATTATGTTGGTTTTGTCATGACGCGGCTCAATTATAAACTCATTGGTAAGTAAAATGCCAGATGTTTCTTGTATCCTATATGATAACATCCAGCTAATACTGTATACACAAGTAGAACTTGAGCTCTATTATTAAACAAAATATATAAACACTCAAGCCAACTGTTGCCACAGGCACATTCTAAATCATTATGTTGGAAGAGATGCAGCAAACGTCACTGATTCTTTGAGGGTTTTTTTTTTTGCCAGTCTTCTTTTCTTTCTTTTTTTTTTTGCACATAAAATAGCAGGGGAAGTAAGAGACAGCCTTTTCTCAAATAAAAGTCCCAGTTTGATCTGAAAATCCCAGTATCTATATTTGTTACATGAAAATTTTG